GTGCTGATCTTCCCTTCCCTGAGTTTGCGGATGATACTCGCGTTCAGATCAACAATTCCGATGTTATTCGTAACCTCGGAAATGGTAGTCTGATCGGCTATGTTCCTCGCTATTACCAGTATCGCTGTCAATTGGATTCGGTACATGGTAAGTATCTGCGTGAGTACCGTTCCTACCTCTGGTTGCGTGATTGGTATTCTACGTATGGTTACAACCGTGTGAAGGATCTTATCTCTGCCTACGAGCCCCAGGATGTTGTTTCTCCGTTCACCATCGATGCGTACGGTTTACACGTTCATGTTCCGCTGGATGCGTTCCTTGGTACGGTTCATGAGTTCGACCCTATTGCTTACGGTAAGTTGGAATTTAACTTTGCTGTTAACTGCCCGCTTCCCGCTGCTGTTGAAACTGTGTAACTTTTTAGGGGGTGCAGATCCTGTGCCCCCCTTTTAAACTTTTTATTTTATGAGTGCTTTTAATAAACATCCTCAGCGCCCAGATAATGGTGACCCTTTCTTGCAGTCTGTTTATGAGTACTATAATGGTTTCTTGCAAACCTTTGGCTCTGCTGGTGATTCTGAAGCTGCTTCGTTCTTGGAGACTGCTGCTAATATCCAGTTGCAAAAGGATATTAACGAGCAAAATCGTGCTGAAGCTGAGAAGGCTTATCAGCGTTCTACTGCTTCTGCTCAGATAGAGCAATTTATGAAAGCTGGATTTAGTGAGCAACAGGCCCGTCAAATTGTTGCTGGTGCCGCTAATCCTGGTGCTTATACTCCGGCTACTTTACAAGCTCCTACTGCTGCTGCTATGGGTGCTGCTGCTGCTGCTGATCAACAGAATTTGATTAGTACTACTAATCTCGGTTTGAGTGCTGCGCAACAAGCTATAGGCACTACTCAGGCTATTGCTCAGTCTTACTTTGATGGCTTGGATTCTCCTTCTGGTGGTGCTATTGGTGCTTTTACTGCTAATCCTGTTGTCTCTAAGTTGACTGCTCACCTGGATGAAATTGCTCCTGAGTATCGTTCTGTCTTTGGTCTTAATGAATTGGCTAAGTCTGGACAGTTGCCTGAATCTCTTAAAAGTATTATTGAATCTGATGAGTATAAGCGTGTGATGAACTCGCCTTATGCTCGTAAGTATATTGATTCGTTCTTTGCTCAGTCTTTCCAGTTCTCTCGTGATCAGTATGCTCTTACTTCGGTTGATTTGTCTAATCAGGTTGCTCGTGTTAAGGCTTTGCGTGAAGATTTACAGCTTGGACAGGATAGCCAGAAACTTATGCAGATGCAGTTAGAAACGGACTATGCTGTTAAGGTTCAGGAAAGCAAGATCAAGATGTCAATGGCTATGTTTGACGCTCAGGCTGCTGAGTATGAGCTTAACAAGCAAAAATTCCTGAATCCTGAGTATCGCCAGAAATGGCTCGCTCACATGCTTCAGGATGAAACGAATGCTCAGATTCTCGGCACTATCTTGGAAAAGAAATATACCGCTCAGGCTGAATGGCTCAATGATCCAGCTAATGCTCAATTTGTTGCCATTGGTGAGCTGCTTGATGCAATGGGTATCACTCGTACTGATGTTGGCGCTGTGATCTCTTACTCTATGGCTGCCACTGGTATCTCTCTGCCTTCTGCTTCTAAGTCTATTTTGGATAGATTGCGCCATTGGATCTTTGATTAATAGGAGCGCGATGCGAGCTTGCTCGCGTATTTGCGTGCGCTCCGTTCCTCTAATCTTACAATTTGGCGCCTGTGGCGCAAATTGCGCTTACTATGCCTTAAAATTATCTTCAATAGCTGTGCATTATTGCATGGCTATTGTTTTTGTTGACCGCTTTTACCTAAAAGCGGTGCTTCCCCTTGATTATAATAAGTCACACTGACAAAAGATGTTTTTATGTCAGCCCACTTGGTGGGCGATGCAGCGCCCTCGCTGGGTATATATTAACCCCTTGCATCGTGTCCTTGCGCTCTTGCGCTTATTCATGAACGAGCGAGCTTTGTTTATCTTTATTGCGAGCGAGTTCTATTTTATAGCGCATTTATGCGTACCTTATTATGTAGGGTGAGCGTACGGATGTGCGCGAATCCCCACAGGGAGAGGGGTCAGGGGAGAGGGTAAGGTTTCCGGCTATATACGTTAGTTGCCGGATGCCTTACCCTCTCCCCTGGTTCTATTATATTATTTATTATATTTTATTTATTATTTCCCTTTGTATATTATTAGCCCCCTCCAGGCGATGGAGGGGGCTATAGGGGTGGTCGGTTCTTGCGTGTATGCGCGTGCGACTTTCTCGTATTTATTACCATAATTGTATATCTGTGAATTACGCTAAACTTAATCGTGATTAGACATTTTTATTTGCGTGTTTTCGAAAATTGTTGTACTTTTGTGCATTGTTTAACTAATTTTTGATGATATATGTTTAATTTATCTGCTCATCTTGCTAGTATTCATGAATTTGAGAATGCTATGCGTCCTTGTTATTATCCTCCTTCTATTCCGTATTTGGAATCCTATTTGAATGATCCTCGTTCTGGTGCTCATTATCCCTTTTGGGCTGATCCCCATGTCCTTTTGATTGATCATTTAGATCGTGCTGGTAATTCAGTCTATAAGACTTTGGTTCTTGCTCCTCATTGCGTTGCTTGCTCTGATTATGAGCGTTCTCTTCCTACTTGTTGGCGTACTGTTACTAAAGTTTTGATTTGATTATGAATGTTCTAACTCGTCACTATGTGAGAAGACTACAGCGTGGTCTATCACCTTACTACAATAATCGTGCCATTTATCACTTTTATGATGATGGATATGGTGTTTATAGGCTGCTTTGCGATGCCTCAACAGTCCCTGAGCTGGGTTACAATAAGTTAAACAATCTTCTATATCATCTGTGCCCGGACAGGGCTGCTGAGTTGTATAATACTATAACAGATGAGAATTTTAAAGATTTGTTTATGGGTGATTGGCGAATACATCGTGATGATAAAGACCCCTTGCTTTTTTTCGTCTATTGGAATTAGTTTTTTATTGGTTGTTCGGATGGTTTCTTGTTCTATTTTGGATGTTCCTAAGGGGTTTTCCTCTGGTTGGGAGTTTGATCTGCAATACATTATGGATCATTCTTCTAACTGGGGGTTTCCGCTACTGATTCCTAACCGTTTTATTCGTATCACTAATTTTGTTGAACCTTCTAATTGGCTTCCGTTCCCCGGTAACAGGGGTATAGTTAGTCCTGAGATATACGTTGCATTTCATGCCCTTACCATTAAGTACATATTACAAAGTCTGCGTTAACGGTGCTGATCCTTCCGATTTTGCTACGCATGGTTGCCTTTATCCGCATGTTATTACGGTTAAAGATAGCTTTGGTATTGCGAAAAATATGGTGTCGGATTGTGGTCACTGTGTTAACTGCCAGAATCAAGCCCGTGAGGAGTGGGTTACTCGTATGTTCCTCCACTCTTGGGATTCCCCTACTCACTCATCAAAATGGCGCTACTGCTATTTTGTTACCCTAACCTATGGCTCGTATGATCTTAACCAGTATGTTAAACATCCGTTCCTGAGCGACTGGCTCGCTACTTATCCCGCCCCTGATCGTGACAATTCTACTGGGCGCTATGCCTGGTGTCCTTCTATCTTGTGTGTTACTCACATACAAAAGTATTTCAAGCGCCTTCGTGCTCTTGATCCTGAGAATACTCTTAGCTATGTTTATACTGGCGAGTATGGCCATGTTCATGGTAGATGCCATTGGCACACTATTATTTGGTCTTATAATCCTATCCCGGCTGATTTCTTCCAGCTTGCTTGGGGGTATCTGTGTAAACAGGCTTCCCCGGATGTTGTTTTGTCCTATCGTTCTAATAAACCCGATAAAGATACTTTCTTTTTTAAGATCGGTAACGTTGATGTTTCTGATCTTGGTGCTAATGGTACTTTTAATGAGTGTGTTCGTGTGCATGGACAGAATCAGGATGCTCGCTATGCTTTTACCTATGTGGCAAAGTATTTGAAAAAGTCCCCGGATGATGTTCCTCTGTCTGCCCTTGCTCGGTTCTCTCGTGCCTTTAATAGTCTTCCGGTTGATAACTCTCCGCGTATTCTTGCTGCTGATGATCCAGCGCTGGATGAATCTTCTCTTGATAGTCTTAACTTAAAATTGTTTAATTTTAATAATCGTGTTTATCATCATGTCACTTTCACACAATTTAAGAAACTGGTTAAACCGTGTTTCTCTTCTTCTCTCAGGTATGGTATTGGAAAAGAGTATGCTCTTGCAAACCTCTCTCGCTTTGATAAAGGAGATTTCTCGCTCCCTAAATTTCGAGGTAAAGATTTTGTGTTCCCCCGCTACTTTTCGCACTTGTTGTCGCTCAAAAGATGCCCTATTTACTTCGAAAAAGCGTCTTTCTCAGGTATTTCATTTGTTAAAAGTGATTATATTGCTGTTAAAAGATATTTCCGGGAGTTGGCTCTCAATCCTGCTGCTTTATCCCCCGCTTACCTTCGTACAGATAATTCGTTCAAACGCGAAAACATTGCTTTCCCTATGGGTGCTAACCCTGATCTGGACTATGTTGTGCTTCGTTCTGGAACTGGTGTTATGCGTGGTGTTCTCAATCCCGCTTTTAATCGTTTTGATTTTTTCTCTTACTCTCGTTCTGAAAGAACGTATTACAAGATATGTGAGTTCTCTATTGAAGATTTTTGTGATTTCGTGATAGAGTGTATTGATAAGGAGTTTGACCGTGTTCAGGTGATCAATGAGAATCTCCATAAGCAATTAGAGTTGTTTGATGCTGTCGAGAATCACCCTGATACTGTCATTTTGCGTGATCAATATGAATCTGTTTCGAAACGTAATCAAGATCGTTACCATATTAACCATTATTATATTGAATAACTATGACTCGTGAAGAAGCTAAAATGTTGCGTTTTGGCGCTTGTGTTGCACCTTCTGGCTCTGTTTGCTGTGGTGTTCCTGTTTGTGCTGGTTCTGTGAAAACTGGCATTATTACCCCCGATCAGTCTCGCCCGATGACTGACAGGGATTTTAATAAGTTCACGCTGAATGATATTGCATTCTTGCGTGCTACTCTTTTTTCTGATCCTCTACATCGTTCGGACCTTCTGGTACGTGAACAAAGTCGTGGCGCCCGTCTTCGTTCCTATCTTAAGGAGAACGGTACAGATAAGTTTAACCAAAATTATTCTTAGTATGTCTAAAGAAATTATTTACAAGATCGTTCAGGCGATCTGTACTGCGATTCTCACGATCGCGGGAGTTTTGTTGATGCAGTCTTGCAGCACTACTAAAGCTACTATCATGTCTGCTCGTGATGCTGCCAGTACTACCATTACTATTACTACAGCTAACCCCGTTTCTGCTGATACGAAAGTAGATGCTAACGGTACTATTAACCCTATTAAGTGATTTAGTGTATGAAAATCGATTTCTCGCGTTCCAATGTGAACGATTCTATGCTGAACATCACCAGTCCTCGTAAATCTACGTTTGACTTGTATCACAAGCACCATCATTCTCTCCCGATTGGTCGTTTTGTTCCTGTGAATGTTCAAACCCTTATGCCGGATAGCGTTTTGTCTGGCACTATTAAGCCTGAGTACACCCTTGAACAGGTTGTTACCCCTCAGGTTGGCCCTTTGCGTTTTGACACGCACACTGTTGCTGTGTCTGCTCGTCGTATTAACCGGGATTGGCGTAAGTTGATAGAGGATAATTATGAGGTTCAGAATATTCCTTCGTTTTTGTCTCACTCTCCTTTCTTGAATTTCTGGGGTATCTTTGACGGTTCTGGTAATCCTTTCCGCTTCCTTGTTTCTTATCGTGATCGATCTTTTCCCGGTTTTATTGATCTTTGTACTGCTACTACTGATATAGTCGATATTTACCGTAATCTTGCTCTTGGTGGACAGTATGGTTATTTGGGTGATCTTCTCATGTCTGAGGTGAATCGCCTTATGTCTTCGGTTTATTTTACTGATTTGACTACTTATCGTTCTGCTCCCTGGAATACTATTGTTGACTGGATTCATTTTATTGGTCAGCCTTTCCTTGGTGAAGGTAGTATTTTGGATGAGCTCTCTTATCCGTGTTCTACCTATTACGCTCCTAATTTTGTTATTCTTCGTACCTTGTTTTCTGGTGATACTACTGCTATTATCGATCCTCTTGATCTTTCGGATCGCCTTGCTGAATTGGAAGGTGATCAGTTCTTTAATCTTTTTGATTATATTCAGAATGATTTTGTGTTCTCTAATTCTACTTTGGTGAATGAAATGCCTTTGCGTGCTGCTTATGCCGCTTGGTACGATGCGCTTCGCAACTGGCATGTAGAAGAACGTAAGAATCTGCTTGATCCTGATGATTGGGGTAAAGTTCCTCTTGTTAACGATCATTTGACCGCTGATGTGTTCTTCATGCTTTTCGTTCCTCACTATCGCTGCTTTGGCTCTGATCCGTTTACTACCATACAGACTGATGATGTTTTCCGTCACGTGTTCGCTCCCATCATGCCCGATGCTGGTGGTACTGCTCAAAACTCTTTCAGCTCTACTGGTGACGCTGCTGATGTGACTGATTACGATTCTATTTATCAGGTGATGGTTCAGGGAATCTCTAAGGTGTTCCCGCAAGGTCTTTTCCGTCGCTCTTCTGCTAATGGTGTAACTGAGGTTAACTACCTGGCAGACCTTCAAACCATGAAGCGTGCCGGAATGCTTGAGCGTTACCTGGCTCGTAACTACTATTTCCCGGATACTTACGAAGGTCAGATGCGCGCTCGGTATAATATCGATGCGAGTGATTTGCTCGGTTGTACTTCTCGCTACATTTCTGGATCTGAATCGTTCTTGACTGGTGAGCAACAGATTTCGAACGTTTCGACCTCTGAAATGGAAGCTGGTACGCGTGTAATGACTGGTGGATCTTCTGCTACTGAAACTATCCAGTTCGCTAGTCAGGGTGATTTCATCTATTTGGTTACCTTTGCAAGTATCATCCCTATCCCGGATTACGATTCTCTCGATCCTCACCTTGTTGAGAATTCGCGTGCTGATCTTCCCTTCCCTGAGTTTGCGGATGATACTCGCGTTCAGATCAACAATTCCGATGTTATTCGTAACCTCGGAAATGGTAGTCTGATCGGCTATGTTCCTCGCTATTACCAGTATCGCTGTCAATTGGATTCGGTACATGGTAAGTATCTGCGTGAGTACCGTTCCTACCTCTGGTTGCGTGATTGGTATTCTACGTATGGTTACAACCGTGTGAAGGATCTTATCTCTGCCTACGAGCCCCAGGATGTTGTTTCTCCGTTCACCATCGATGCGTACGGTTTACACGTTCATGTTCCGCTGGATGCGTTCCTTGGTACGGTTCATGAGTTCGACCCTATTGCTTACGGTAAGTTGGAATTTAACTTTGCTGTTAACTGCCCGCTTCCCGCTGCTGTTGAAACTGTGTAACTTTTTAGGGGGTGCAGATCCTGTGCCCCCCTTTTAAACTTTTTATTTTATGAGTGCTTTTAATAAACATCCTCAGCGCCCAGATAATGGTGACCCTTTCTTGCAGTCTGTTTATGAGTACTATAATGGTTTCTTGCAAACCTTTGGCTCTGCTGGTGATTCTGAAGCTGCTTCGTTCTTGGAGACTGCTGCTAATATCCAGTTGCAAAAGGATATTAACGAGCAAAATCGTGCTGAAGCTGAGAAGGCTTATCAGCGTTCTACTGCTTCTGCTCAGATAGAGCAATTTATGAAAGCTGGATTTAGTGAGCAACAGGCCCGTCAAATTGTTGCTGGTGCCGCTAATCCTGGTGCTTATACTCCGGCTACTTTACAAGCTCCTACTGCTGCTGCTATGGGTGCTGCTGCTGCTGCTGATCAACAGAATTTGATTAGTACTACTAATCTCGGTTTGAGTGCTGCGCAACAAGCTATAGGCACTACTCAGGCTATTGCTCAGTCTTACTTTGATGGCTTGGATTCTCCTTCTGGTGGTGCTATTGGTGCTTTTACTGCTAATCCTGTTGTCTCTAAGTTGACTGCTCACCTGGATGAAATTGCTCCTGAGTATCGTTCTGTCTTTGGTCTTAATGAATTGGCTAAGTCTGGACAGTTGCCTGAATCTCTTAAAAGTATTATTGAATCTGATGAGTATAAGCGTGTGATGAACTCGCCTTATGCTCGTAAGTATATTGATTCGTTCTTTGCTCAGTCTTTCCAGTTCTCTCGTGATCAGTATGCTCTTACTTCGGTTGATTTGTCTAATCAGGTTGCTCGTGTTAAGGCTTTGCGTGAAGATTTACAGCTTGGACAGGATAGCCAGAAACTTATGCAGATGCAGTTAGAAACGGACTATGCTGTTAAGGTTCAGGAAAGCAAGATCAAGATGTCAATGGCTATGTTTGACGCTCAGGCTGCTGAGTATGAGCTTAACAAGCAAAAATTCCTGAATCCTGAGTATCGCCAGAAATGGCTCGCTCACATGCTTCAGGATGAAACGAATGCTCAGATTCTCGGCACTATCTTGGAAAAGAAATATACCGCTCAGGCTGAATGGCTCAATGATCCAGCTAATGCTCAATTTGTTGCCATTGGTGAGCTGCTTGATGCAATGGGTATCACTCGTACTGATGTTGGCGCTGTGATCTCTTACTCTATGGCTGCCACTGGTATCTCTCTGCCTTCTGCTTCTAAGTCTATTTTGGATAGATTGCGCCATTGGATCTTTGATTAATAGGAGCGCGATGCGAGCTTGCTCGCGTATTTGCGTGCGCTCCGTTCCTCTAATCTTACAATTTGGCGCCTGTGGCGCAAATTGCGCTTACTATGCCTTAAAATTATCTTCAATAGCTGTGCATTATTGCATGGCTATTGTTTTTGTTGACCGCTTTTACCTAAAAGCGGTGCTTCCCCTTGATTATAATAAGTCACACTGACAAAAGATGTTTTTATGTCAGCCCACTTGGTGGGCGATGCAGCGCCCTCGCTGGGTATATATTAACCCCTTGCATCGTGTCCTTGCGCTCTTGCGCTTATTCATGAACGAGCGAGCTTTGTTTATCTTTATTGCGAGCGAGTTCTATTTTATAGCGCATTTATGCGTACCTTATTATGTAGGGTGAGCGTACGGATGTGCGCGAATCCCCACAGGGAGAGGGGTCAGGGGAGAGGGTAAGGTTTCCGGCTATATACGTTAGTTGCCGGATGCCTTACCCTCTCCCCTGGTTCTATTATATTATTTATTATATTTTATTTATTATTTCCCTTTGTATATTATTAGCCCCCTCCAGGCGATGGAGGGGGCTATAGGGGTGGTCGGTTCTTGCGTGTATGCGCGTGCGACTTTCTCGTATTTATTACCATAATTGTATATCTGTGAATTACGCTAAACTTAATCGTGATTAGACATTTTTATTTGCGTGTTTTCGAAAATTGTTGTACTTTTGTGCATTGTTTAACTAATTTTTGATGATATATGTTTAATTTATCTGCTCATCTTGCTAGTATTCATGAATTTGAGAATGCTATGCGTCCTTGTTATTATCCTCCTTCTATTCCGTATTTGGAATCCTATTTGAATGATCCTCGTTCTGGTGCTCATTATCCCTTTTGGGCTGATCCCCATGTCCTTTTGATTGATCATTTAGATCGTGCTGGTAATTCAGTCTATAAGACTTTGGTTCTTGCTCCTCATTGCGTTGCTTGCTCTGATTATGAGCGTTCTCTTCCTACTTGTTGGCGTACTGTTACTAAAGTTTTGATTTGATTATGAATGTTCTAACTCGTCACTATGTGAGAAGACTACAGCGTGGTCTATCACCTTACTACAATAATCGTGCCATTTATCACTTTTATGATGATGGATATGGTGTTTATAGGCTGCTTTGCGATGCCTCAACAGTCCCTGAGCTGGGTTACAATAAGTTAAACAATCTTCTATATCATCTGTGCCCGGACAGGGCTGCTGAGTTGTATAATACTATAACAGATGAGAATTTTAAAGATTTGTTTATGGGTGATTGGCGAATACATCGTGATGATAAAGACCCCTTGCTTTTTTTCGTCTATTGGAATTAGTTTTTTATTGGTTGTTCGGATGGTTTCTTGTTCTATTTTGGATGTTCCTAAGGGGTTTTCCTCTGGTTGGGAGTTTGATCTGCAATACATTATGGATCATTCTTCTAACTGGGGGTTTCCGCTACTGATTCCTAACCGTTTTATTCGTATCACTAATTTTGTTGAACCTTCTAATTGGCTTCCGTTCCCCGGTAACAGGGGTATAGTTAGTCCTGAGATATACGTTGCATTTCATGCCCTTACCATTAAGTACATATTACAAAGTCTGCGTTAACGGTGCTGATCCTTCCGATTTTGCTACGCATGGTTGCCTTTATCCGCATGTTATTA